AGATGGTAACAGGCATGCGCTTAGCCAGTTTCTGTGGGGTGACGCATCTGAGGTGAGGCAGATCTCATCTGTGCCTCACCCGACCTTACCCCACAGTAACTGGGTGGAGCGCGCTCACAAAATAAGTGCCCGCGCTCCAGCCAGTTACTGTGGGGTTACGTGAGGCATAGCTCGACCGTCCTCGTTTCTCATCGCTACAAGCTGTAGTTGTAGCGGAGCTCTGCAATTTGCCAATTTTGACTATAAAAAGCAATTGGAATCATACAGAAATCACAATTACAACACAGACGCTCTGCCTCCCCTGACTGCACGTCACTGGTTCCAAGACCAGTTTTTGTCTATGTTTTTGTTTATGCATACACTGTCTTTTTGCATAAATAAACTGGCTTCTGAAACAGGGGTTTTGGGGGTTTTGCCCCAGAGATTTGGCAATGTTGTGATTTGCATTTGCATAAGTTAATGGACAGCATGGGCAGGTATTAATGGTTAAAGAGTTCTGTTGTTAAACTGCCTTGACAGATTTGTGAGGACATAAAACCTGACAATAGCACAATGCAGCATCTTCAGTGTCTCTGACATCATCTCCCTGCCATACCCTATTGGCTATATTGACTGAAATGAATTACCACTAGTGCCCTTTATCACTATGACAATGCAGAGAGATGAGAAGTTGACAGTGTCAACTTCATTACTTCTCATTTCCATATGAACAAACAGCGCTGAAGAGGCCTTCAACCTGCCCACTTACCTCTGCTCTGCTCATAAATTGCACGACGCCAACGTACGCGCGCAAAGAGTTACTCACACATTCCACTCCAGTCGCCCATCCTAAAACCGGCACATTAGCATAGATAACTGCCCTTCACAATCTCTGACAGGTCTTTTTTCTTCTTTCTGTCTGTGATACAGTATCAGATTATCTAGATGAAGTGCTTGCGGGGACGGTGGAGACGGTGGTGTGAAGGACAGTGTCGTTTGCCAGGGCCGCTCATTATTTGCCCATTGGAATCTACAGCACTTCGATTTGTATGGATTGCGGCCAGGTGGTGTCGAGGCTCCGGGGCACGTTATCAAAAAGCTGCGCTGCTCCAGACCTTTGTGCGTTGGGTCATTAATCTTGCTGTCAGTGAACTGTCATTCGAAGTATCTTTCGCCTTATCCTCACCCCTCTCTCTCTTCACCATGGCCGCCCCGGGTTGAGAGTGCAGAAGAGAGGAGGGGGGGCTGGTCTCTCTGAGGCTTCCACCCATACACCACTCTTCTAATCACTTGATCAGAGCTGTGTTTGATGATGAGTGCGCTGAGTGGAGGTGGGCCAGAGAGACCCACGGCTTGGCTCATCTTTTACCTGTTACTGATTGCAAATACAACTACATAAGAGAATCAAGCTACATAGTGTTTTGAGCTTTTCTACTGTTGTACCATGGACTTGCTGTCTTTCTATAGGTTCTTGGTGTGGTGCAAAGTATACCGAGAAATAACGTTCAATTTCTGTACTGCCACGGGGAAGCATGGTAAATGTTTTTGCATGCAGAACAAGTGAACCGTGGTTAGATACTGTCCTCACATTGTGCTGACAAGGCCATTCTGTGCATGTCTGAGGGAGAGGCCAAGGTGCTGAGCTCATGTTTCCTGACCAAGCAAGCAGCAGCAGTAAGCACAGCATAGTGATGACAATAGGACCACTAAACTCTCACTCAACAATGCTTAAAATCTAACTGTAGACCACATGAAATCCAACTTGTTATGCCCTTCAATCCTCCATGCATGTATTTTTGTCCACTTGGCTGCTCGTAGGGAAGAGCCCTGTGCTTAGCATATCAGAGATGAATTATAGAATTGAAAGCCAAAGTTATTTATGAGCTGTGATGAAGTGTGATTTACTTACGGAGTGAAATTAATGACAGAATGCAGATAGTTTCCTTGCCCTGTATGCAAGTGCTGAATCTCCCTAAAGTGCATATTGCCACTGGTGGAATGAATAAATGAATCCGATATTTCAATGTTTCATTAATTTTTTTTGTCACCTTAAATTACATTATTGAATAAATCTGTCCACAGATGCGAGTAAAACATACGCATAGATTTTGTCCCTTTTTTGTGCTCTTTCCTGGTGATCAAATGGGGTTTTTCTAATGCATATTCCCTCTGTATAGTCAAGAAGCCGGTCAGCACTGAGCTTTTTGCCAAAGTGCTATACACACACTCATATACCCCTGTGACATTAACAATAATGAGTGGCAGGACACTCTCTTTTTAACAGCACCAAATCGTATTCAGCTAAGGCAATTACAGACTTTAATGAGCCCTTTAATGACAGATTTAACACTTGTCTTATAATTTTATAGTGGCAATATAAATCGATGGAGAAATGTCTCTGCCATTTTGAAAAAGAAGCCTCGAACTGAGCCCAGTCAAAGACACAGGCTCTCCTATCTATTTAAAAACACATAGTCATTAGGGATGTGTGTCTGCCGCTGTGTGTGTGAGGGCTTTACAGCGCTGGTCAGCGCTGATTGCTCTGGGAGGGAGCTGCAGGGTTATGTCAAGGTGACTATGTCAGTGTTTCGTTCCTGTGCGCCCTCATGCACAACATTGCTTATTTATACATCTGATTTCTCTATTCAATTGGTTTTACCGCTCCCCCGACAAGGAATCAAGCCAAATTCCCCAAAGAAGTCTGACAATCAATAGTGAGGTGGCTGGGGGTGAGTGAGGTGCTGACGGGGCTCACATCACTTCTGTGTGACATGTCCTCAGTGCATCTGACATGTGCCGTCAACACCAAGCCCTCACTGCTATAGCATATCAGCGCTACAGACGTCTGCAGTGAACATTTACATTGGTTTTATTCAATTTCATTACTATCTTTGTGGGGTTGTGACATGTGTGCTCTGTCAGCTTCTTTACACTCAACAGTCTGACCAATTGTATGGTCCTGTTTTTGTACCTGTTGATTGGCTGGTGTATGTGTTAGTGTCTGCCATTACCAACACTTTTCGAATGTTTGACATTTCCAGATGTTTCCGCTCTCCTGCCATATGTTCAATGAGAACTGGCCGCTTAGTATTGATTTACCATCAGTCATGTGGTTATGCTGTGTCCTGCACTGAGGATTACGCTCAATGGTACAAAACACATCGGTAGATAATGGATACATAATGAGGAAATGGAAGTGTTAATGTGTGTTAAAATAAGGTTTCTCTACTGAATATTTTCCTTGACGGCCCTATACTCTTACTATTTCTAAGTATTTGCTTCATTTTTCTAAACCACTCGGCTTTCTTTGTATTTTTACCCACACAAGCATTATGGCTCTAGGGATTGCAATGTCGGCCTCTCGGTCAGTCCCCTTTGGTCCAGCCTGAACTATCTCAACTATCGGGCAGATGTCCATGACATCTTGGACAGATATTCATCTCTCTTCTAAGTTATCTCTTTACTTTTTGTCTGGAAACATCATCACTTTAAATCTGATTCTTGTTTGGTTAGTGTACAAATACATAGCAATTTTATAAAACGGACAAGTCAAATCAAGCAATCTGATTGGTTCTTAGCCGTGATATAATGAGCGTATATCAGGGGTAGAATTGTAGTTACTTTTCACAAGTCATGTATCCCTCTGCGTCTGAGAAAAAGCTACAACCGTTACAAATGTTACATTACGTCCGTTACAAAACTAACTAACTAACAAAGCTTAAAATGGAAACATGTAAGGTTAACTTCGACCTCCGGGGTGGCCTTTCGATGGAGGA